TACCAAGGACTTATAAAAGTGGTAGTTACAGCTGCCTCGCTAAACTTTCAGCATTAAGAGGTTAGCGTTTAACTGGTTGGTCTTGTGTATGGATAGTGTGACTGGGTAGAAAATTATGTTTTGAGATATGTACAATTTCTAAAATATACGTACATTTGAATGAAATGTCTTTAAATATCAGTGCCAATGACGTTATAGAGAAACAGTCATACCAAACGTTTTGGTTCTTCTTACACAAAATTCAAGGAGCAGAACTCAAACAATAGTATGTATCCTCTTTAGACCCTAATGAATCTTTCTATTTTTTGCAAGTGTCATTCTTCACTGGTCTGCAAATTTCATGGGCAAAACAGAAAAAAATAAGTGTTTTTCGTTGGGATTAAAATAAGACTCGCACACATATTAGCCTCATTCGTGTAGTGAAACCAGGAATAGATGACACAATTTAGGCCTATTTAAAATATGTTCTTTCCTTTTCTGTTGCAGGATCGAAGCGTAACTGCCAAGTTTTGTTGCATTTGGGACAGAATAATTTAATCTAAAGCTCAATTTATCTTGCAAGTTCAGTAATTGCAATTCTGTTTCACGATCATCGTCCCTAGGGCAAGTTCAGTAATTACAATTCTGTTTCATGATCATCGTCCCTAGGGCAAGGGCAGTAATTACAATTCTGTTTCATGATCATCGTCCCTAGGGCAAGTTCAGTAATTGCAATTCTGTTTCATGATTATCGTCCTTAGGGCAAGTGCAGTAATTACAATTTTGTTTCATGATCATCGTCCCTAGGGCAAGTGCTGTAATTGCAATTCTGTTTCATGATCATCGTCCCTAGGGCAAGTTCAGTAATTACAATTCTGTTTCATGATCATCGTCCCTAGGGCAAGGGCAGTAATTACAATTCTGTTTCATGATCATCGTCCCTAGGGCAAGGGCAGTAATTACAATTCTGTTTCATGATCATCGTCCCTAGGGCAAGTTCAGTAATTGCAATTCTGTTTCATGATTATCGTCCCTAGGGCAAGTGCAGTAATTACAATTTTGTTTCATGATCATCGTCCCTAGGGCAAGGGCAGTAATTACAATTCTGTTTCATGATCATCGTCCCTAGGGCAAGGGCAGTAATTACAATTCTGTTTCATGATCATCGTCCCTAGGGCAAGTTCAGTAATTGCAATTCTGTTTCATGATCATCGTCCCTAGGGTAAGTGCAGTATTTACAATTCTGTTTCATGATCATCGTCCCTAGGGTAAGTGCAGTAATTACAATTTTGTTTCATGATCATCGTCCCTAGGGCAAGTACAGTAACTACAATTCTATTTCATGATCATCGTCCCTAGGGCAAAGATTCATATAGGGGTGCAGCTAGTAGTCTGTGAGACCTCCAAGCCTGAAATACAACTTCTATACTCATAAAAGCTTAATTCCAGGTTCTGGTAGCGTTTGTAAAATACGTCCCGCGTTGAATCCCCATTTACGTGGTGAATATACCCCCTAACCGAAAAAAAACCATCTCATCCATACACCACGCCACATTCACATTCACTATACCAATATGCGTTAGTTAATAATAATGATATTTGTTTATTCATCAATAAGATACATCGTAGTTGTTTAGAAAAGTACATTTACGATAGGTACAGGCAAAACACCTGCGCTTGACCCATGCGAGCACGGAGACCTGGGGGGAGAGTTGTATTAGCTCACCGAGGCTCCAAAGAAAAATAGGATATATCTATGTACGATTAAAGTAACTTTCACCAGGAAGATCAAGCGAGCTAAACGTTATCCATACAAGTTGAGGGCGATGTCTCTACGGACAGCAACAGATCTAGGCACAATGGCAACAGGCCGAGAAACAATAAAAGCTAGTAAATAAATTTCTTTGAGGTTTAAAAAATAACTTTAAATTGTTCTTTTTATTTATTATGTGTAATGAATGCCGGGCTATTTAACAGCAAGGTACAGAGCATGCAGTAAACCGGGGAATCTTGTCAGTGGGCAGTTGTTAACAATGTGTTACATTTGTCTGCAGAGTTTCACAGCTACAGAACAAGTCAGTGGCCTGGTCCCATCGTGGTGCACGGATGCCGTGGAAGGTTGAAGCCAGGAGATCAGACAGATGGCTCAGCTATGACGGACCTAACCAGATTGGATGTCTCGGAGCCAAGCGATGTCCACATAGTGAAGTTTCTCACTGGCATAGACCTTAGCAAGCAATTTTGAAGTTGCTTCCTTGAACGGAGATGTGGAGGACCGATTATTGTAATAGACATTTGTACTTTTAGGTATATCCTTGAAGATGCCGTATGCCTACAACCTCTAAGATCTACCTGAGTTGCGTCGAGATAGCTAAACTGACTGCCAAGTTCTCAATATAGTATCCTGGGTAAAGGCTGATCCAGGTTCTCCAGCCTAACGAAGCCCATGATGAGGTCAAGATCATTGACATCAATGTTTCCAGTGAATACACCCACTTGATATCAAAGCTATCCAGCCTGTCAGAGCTTACCCATTTTGACCTGCTCCAACAAGTGCAAAGAACGGCCACACCTGGTCATTTCTACCTTGTCCAGGTCGAGAAGACAGACCTAGTATTTTAAGACATCGTCTCCGGCAATACGTTAAAGTATGCCCAATGAGAGGATATTTTACACCATTGTTGTACAGCTTGTGCCTTTACTTTAATTTTTCCCATAATATTTCGATGGTTCTGAATCTAATCTACCATGGCGATCTTCTAAACCAAAATAAAATGTATGTGCCCTACCTACAACAAAGCCACGTGAAGACAGCTCCATGGAAACCTATATATGGGGTCATTCTTGGATCCAGACTAAGCAATCTCCCGATCTCACTATTATCTGAGCTCTCTGAGGAATTCTTCAACAGTATGTCTTGCCTCCGCTTTGGAATACACTGTGGTACCATGCACACGGACTGCGTTTACGCTTCATTTTTCTGTTCAAGAAGCTAGCATGTGCCTCAAAACGTCTGCTTTCAAGGGGTCAAAGACGCTGGTGAGACATGTTTCTCTTGTGCTTTGAGTAGAATCTCTAGGATTACCCCCACTCCCAAAACATCCTTTCCCAACACCATTCCACTCCCTGGCGTCACAGAAACAGCTACACAATGAGTGAAATTAGTTTGAGGTCGCCTGGCTCATAGAAATAGATAATTTAGGGACGTCAAATGAAGATAAAATGAATTATATCAGAGAACTGCTCGGCGAATGGAGCAAGAGCGTTTACATAAGTAAAAGTCTTAACACCAGTCTAATAGCATTTAGAGTGGGCTAGTAGTATACGTTGGCAATGTAAGTTTAAGATCCAAATTAATGTTTTAAGATTCCTCAATATTAAAGTTGAAAATAGATTAATTACGAACGGATTTTCCAAATAAATTCATTACTATTATTTGTCAAAAAATAAAAGATCAATTTTTAGAATGTCACTGAAGGTAAGAAAAAGGCATTAAATTAATGGCTGAAAAATTCCTGTACATTACATTTTGTCCTGAGGCGTGGCTTTTCAAAAGTAAATTCTGTTTGTACACGTAATACATTAGCATTATTTTTAGCTGAACTTAGTTCAAATACTTGGCAAACACTGAGTTAAAATGATTGGTCAGTATCAAGGTCATACGTCACTGATATGGTCAGCATGTGTAATCAACGTTTATTATTGTTGGTTCTTAAACAAGGCTATCCTGGCGTGTGTGTCAAATGTATTGTAGTAAGTGATCATGTGTCCCATCACAAATGTCGAAATGACGTTTAAGTGAGGTGTAATACTTAATATCACTGTTTTCTAGTTCAGTCGTAAAATAATACCTTGACAGTTCAGATGTACTTTTGTTGTTGCTAGATGAGTTTGTTTTTGAGTTATTCTATTCTTCAAAATTATTAATTAATTCTCTGGGAAAAGTTTATAAGTTCTGCTCTTCATTAAATTCTTGGACAAGACATTCAGTGGAAATTATTTGGAATTCAAAAGCCGGAATATTATTCTTGATTCACAAAATTCAGCCAGGAACTGTTGCCATTAGTACAATTACCTCATCTGACGTCATCGCTTCCATATTGGAACTTCATTGAGATTCGATGCTTGATTTAATTAAAACTGTTTAGTAATAGGACTTCTATTTTTCAATTCTAGGATTAATTTTTGGATTAATTTCACAAACTTTTAAGTCCTATTTTCGATTTCTACATTGTTTTCTAGGGAAATAAATTCTTTTTGTTAAAATGTACAAAGTTTGTTGGCTTCGCTCTTTCTTTGTTAAGAGCCGAGATTTGTAACAAAATAAATAATAGGAAGTGTTTTCTATGCATTTGCACGAACTGAAAAACAAAACAAGTAAACTGTATGATTATACAGGTGAACATTGACGATTTTATTCCTTTTTAGGTACTATGAGCATAAACTTTAAATGAATTCTGGTATGAAATTAAATGTGTGTTTAAAAAGTTAAATATACATCTTCAATGCTTTTTAATAAATAACTTCTACATTTCTCATGAAAAGCTACTGCATGTACAAATTAAACTTTTCATATTGATGAATGCAATGAAAAATCAGGCGCTACATCTAGAAGCTTAAATTTAAGTAACAGGAAAAGGTAAACTCAACAAGCATTAAATTTTCCAAAATATAATTTGTTTTAACTAAACATAAAATTAAAGAAAGTTAAAGAATTTAAATAGCATATAGTGTATGAGTATCCTAAATTTTATTATTAATTACTCACTAATCTGGAAACTGTCCAAAATTAATATGAATGAAGGTTATATTGGGTTTGTATGCTCCCCTGCTAGCGCCATTGAACAATCATAGTTTTAAATCCAAATGTTTTTACTTCCATATAATCACGTGAAAGTAGAAATATCTCTGAAGTTCTTGAAAGATTCACAAAATCAGATAGTTATTTAAATATTCAAGTTCTTTAATATAGTCACATAATCCGATAAATACTTTCTCTTTAAATTAAAAAATTGTCCACG